AGTAAAGAGGAGAGCAATTATTAAGCAAAGATGTGATACAAAATCTGTCTGTGGCCAGGATTATAAGCAGGAAATCTGATTTGACAACTATTGTATGTAACACATGTGTCCTCAAAAGGAGCTGATCTAAGAGAAGTTGTAAGAATGGAAAACCAGAGTTAAATACAAATATAGTAATAAAGGAAAAAAATCTAAAATATGTATTTTAGACATAAAAGTCTTATAGTAGCATAAAAATGAGTTTAATAGGACAAGAAGTAGGAGTTACTTAATTTTTTTTTACTCTTTTTCAAGTTTTTCTAAGTGCTCAACATAGAAAATTATATTGATCTTTCAGTCAAAAAGAAAGGTTACACTGCTGTTAAACAGTAATAAGGTCATGAAAAAACATAATAATCGTGATGGAGAGGAGAAAACAGGTTGAAGATATGTCCCAGGCAGAAGCAACAGGATTTTGTGATAACTCAGAAAGTAGAGGCAGCCACATTAAAAGAACAGGGAAATTGCCAAGAGAGATAGGTAATCCAGAAGCCATAATAGGAGAGAGATTCTCTAACTGTGGGGGAAAGTGGAGTTACTAATGAGAGGTGAATTGTAAAGCGGACATAGACAATGCCTTTACACTACAGCTCTGAAGTCAGGCAATTTCCAGGGAGGGCTGGGAGTGGTCATGGCATGCATGATAACCAAGGAAGAAGAGAGATTCATTCCTAATATTGCAAATTTGATGAACAAACTTTTTTTTATATCCATAAGATGACATGTCTAGCTGGGCATGGTGGTTCATGCCTGTAATTTTAGCACTCTGGGAGGCTGAGGCAGGAGGATGGCAAGCTTGAGCCCAGCCTAAGAAACTTACCAAGACCAAGTCTCAAAATAAAAAATTTAAAAAGGGGATGTAGATAAGTGTGAAGGCCCTGGGTTTAATCACCAGTAGCGTGCCCACATGCACACACACACAAAGACATAACTGTGTGATCTGTGTGGCTTATCCTAAATAAGGAAATGTTTAGACCTCTCATACCTGCAATCATACAAGATGTCAAAAGAAGGAAAAATCAATCGTCAATCAATCAATCTCAGGTTGTACCTCACATCTTTCTCCTAAGAGTTCAAAGGGTACCATCATGTATCTACAACATGCAGTAAAATTCAAGTGGCAGAAAATTGGGGGAGGAAAAATTATGAGAAAAGGAAAAAAAATGGAAACAAAGTCTTTGTAAATAAGGAAAGGTGGAGGGGGTGAAGGGAGGACAGGAAATGGGGAAAAAATAAGAACCAATATACATCATGTAAAGGTACAAGCATCCAATGATAAATGGAAATGCATTGTATACCTAAAAGGTACCATTAAAGAATTTAAGGAAAAAAAAAGAAAATTGGGGAAAATGAGGTCAAGTCTCAAGATGAATCATTGCAGAAATAGGTCCATAGTTCAACTTTCCTCATTAAGCATCATGATTTAAAAAAATATTGAGGCCATTTTAAAGGCAAACTAGGAGTGTCACCTTTGCTCCTAAGCATGTGTGCATGCCTGCATGTGCACATATGTGTAAGCATATGTAGGCACATGTACAACTGCATACGCACACTTGAGCATTATATAACTTGGGCTAAGAGAAAGCTCTACCAACATCCTTAAACTACACTTATGCATGATAATCAGTTTCTAATAATAGAACAGTGAAAGTGACCACAGCACTGTTATAAATAAAGAAACTCACATGTCATTATAACTTGAAATTTTTAGTTTGAGATTAAGTGAGAAAGAACAAACTTAAAAAAAAGAATTACAAGCCAAATACACTTGTAACTGCACCCGCTACAAGGATTTAATTTAAACCTCAAACATCATCATATTGAAAGAGGAAACAAAAAGCTAGTAACATGCATTGACGTTTACATAAAATTAGTATGTAAAGTGAGAGACAGGAGCCTAATGATGAATGCAAAGCAATGGTTTGCATTTTAACAGACTAAGCAAAAATGTAATTGACAAAGAAGCAAATCTAAATGAATTTCCAGCTATATAAATACTAAATGCAGCTGCATGCTAATTGTCAGTGTTATAAATTAGAAAATAAAATCTGTTTAAACTGAAAATCCAAAAAATTCAGTACACACTGTACTGAATTTACCATTCATTCTATCAGAAAAGGTTAATTTTTCCAAAAATGTAATATTTAAATATCAGAATATTTGATCTGAAATTAGTTTATATTGATTGGGGAAAATGTATTAGAGGGCAAAAGATTAATCTTTCTGTGAATAGCATCTTTCATTCCTAAATTAATAAAGAATAAAAACATTTGTTTACAAAAAGTAGTTAATACAATCATATTTCATTTAAACACCACTAACAGCAATAGGAATAATTTATAGTTTTAAGTTAACTTTCCACTAAAGTATCTGCCATGCTAGTATATCAAAGAAAAATTCACAGTATTAAAACAAACATTAGAATTATATTTTAAAGGGGTTGAATTCATTGCACATGGAATCTTAGTGGCAATTATGAGTTCCAGCTCTGGCACTAGCTCCCCTGAGTTTAAATCCTAATGTCATCATGCCTTACTGTGTGACTCTGAGCAGCTCACTGGACTACACTGTTCTCACTTTTCTCATGCCAATACAGTATAAGGATGGCAACAGCACATAACTCTTAGAATTATTGGGGGAAGCACATGTATCCCCCTACTCAAGGGACTCCCACCAATGCCTGGAACATCCTCAGTAACTGAGAAACATTATTGTCTTCAATCAAGGCAGTAATATCTCAGCAGGCATTAGAGTTGGTAAAAGACACGGACAGAAAAGATGGTGGCAAGCATGCCATGATTTTTCTGGTTCCCAGATAAGAGGGAGTACTCTCATCAACCACTTCCTACATTCTTTTTTCCTTGGAAGACAGGAATCAAAGGAATTTCCCTGGCTACTCTTTAGTAAAGATCAGTTCTCAGTAGGAAACTAAAGAACCCCCTCCTTGACAGATGCTGCACAAGTGACTCTAGAAAAAAGTGAAGCGTCAACTCCCCCAAGCTGCCTTAGGATGTGCTTTGAGATATCGCACATTTCCCTACAATACCACACTTCCACTTGGTGACTGGTCATGCACCTGACTTCAGGTATGGTTTTTGTCCAGATCCCTTGGGATAGAATATCATATGTTTTATTTATCCTTATATTTTCCAAGGTCTTGCAAAAGATAGGGGAAAAAATCAAAGCTTATACATTTAGACTTCATTCTCTTTCTTCTTTTTTAATATACTGGAAGTCTCAACCTCTGAATAGAAGGAAAAAGGCCAAATTTACAAGCATCTCGGTGGGGGGATAAGTCATTGAAAAGATGTAAATTCCCCCTAGATAAACACACCAAGCCCAGGCTCCTCCATACCCATTCAAGTCCACTCACACTGTAACAGGACCTGCATTCCTGCCAAGGGACAAAAAGAAGGAAAGAGGGAGAGCCTTGAATCACATTCACATTCTGCCTCCAAAGGAAGATAAGAGGGCTCTGCCAGTGTGCAGTCAGAGAACAGCAACTCCAAACTCTAAGAGGGCTGAAAGTGATGCTTCTTGCTAACTGCACAAAGGGTGGGAGAAAGGGGGATTGTGTGACATCCCTCCAGGACACAGGTAGACAAGAGGGCCTGAGCAGATACTGTGGGAGTAACTCAAGGCGACATCAAATTCTTCCAAAACTGGATCTGGCTTTCCTTTCCCATGTTCCTTTATTCTTTCTACTTCATCAAGTCCTTGGAGACTTTATTCTCAGAAAAACCTGCTCTCCAAAAGGGATCCACAATCTTTCCTTATATCTTAGCTTAATACCAGTTATTTCTCTCCAAATCATTTTAATTTCATTATTATTTCTAAGGCAAAGAGAGGTTTTATGCATTGTTTAAACAAAGTCCATCCTCAGGCAAGCACAATCCAGAATAAGCAATCTCTTCTGCTTGTACAAGATGCCAGGCCTCACCTGTGAATCTAAACAGTTCTATATCACATTCAATAGCTAAAATAGATAATTACTATTACTATTAACATAAATTGGATTTGGCGGGGATTTAGCTCAGTGGTTTGGCCACCTGCTGTGCAAGCGTAAGGACCTGAGTTCAATCCCCGGTACAAAAAAAACCCCAAAAAAACAAAAAAACCCATAAATTGGATTTAAAGATAATCTGAACAGTTTTATGTCATCAGATCCTCAAATACCATAGAATGACGATAATTCTTTACATTTAAAAGGAAGCATCACTGGATGTGGTGGCACATACCTATAACCCCAGTATTATGGGAGCCTGAGGATCACAAGTTTGAGCCCAGCCTGGCAAATCAGCAAGACCCTGTCTCAAGCCGGGGATTTAGCTCAGCGGTTCCGCCACCTGCCCCACAAGCGCAAGGACCGGAGTGTGAACTGGGGATATAACTCAGAGCCAAGGCCCTTGGTTCAATTCCCAGCACTACCAGGAAAAAAAAAACCCACAGGAAAAATCACAATGAAAAGTTGTTAGAAACTCTCATTTTTGGTTCAGTGGTCACCACTAAGCTACCACATAATCTTGGGCATGGCAGTTGAATTTTCTGGTTTCCAGGCTCCAATGATAAAATTAATGGGTTTGATAGCTATCTAAGGTTCCTCTCAACTCTATAATTTTATGATTCATTAGTCATTTTCAGTTCAAGTACTTTTGGACATCGTAATAGCAAAAGTTCAATTTGCATCTAGAAATGAATGTGAACTATGCAATTGAAGATAAAAAAATGAACTTTTAAGATTAATGTAGCATGGGCGTGAGAAAGAAAATAGAAAATCTTGTAGAATTCGACACTTTGTCCCTTCTGCCCTTTATAATAGACCATCCGATCTAATACTATTAATTTTCTTTTTCTCATTCACACTATAATACAGCAAAATTCAAACACGTGGAACAATAAGGATGCTAGCCATGAGGCTCGCCGCTGAGACCTCAGAGAACCCGCGGTTTTCTGCACCTCACCTTCCACCAGTTGGTCCAGGCTGGAAATCTTCTTAAGCCCATCAATGGTGTAGATTGTTCTCACTCCCTGGGGTAAATTCACATTATCTGACAGAGTTCGGGTCAAATCAGCCAGCAGGGCCTCAAAAGATCGGAAGCGGTCTGGGGAGATGGCATACACAATCCCTTTGAAGTATCGATCTCCATTTCGATAGAAGCGAACCTTCTTGGCCTTCTTCTCGGAGCTGAGCGTCTGCAGTGTGCGCGTGCGGTAGAAGCTGCAGTGGGCACTGTGCGTGGGGCTGGGCAGGCCGTTCACCCGCGAACCCCTGCTGTACCTCTGCGCCTTGTCACGCTCATCAAAGTGCTCCAGCTCCATGTCTCTGCCAAAGGACATGACGGGCTGCAAGTGGCACCTGCAGGGACCCAGAGACAAAAGAAACACAGCCCGAGGTTATTTGATCATGGTTTGAAAGGCTCTGCTTGGCAGCAACTGGGTGGAAATATTGCTATAATCGAGATGATCTATTTAATGTGAGTTATCAAATGGGAGAGAAAGAGGAGGAGGACAAGGAGTAAATGGGAGAGGCAGATGCAGGAGGAAATAGCATATTACTCAACCACAGTTTTGTTAGAAACAGCGCCTACAGATTCAGTGCCTACCACCTATTAGGGGGTAGTCACAACACATTCAAACTAGTGTTCCTTTTTACAGATAGAGAAATGGAGGCACAGAAAGATTTCTCCAAGTAATACAGTTGAGAAATGCTTGAGCCAGTAACTCCCTTCCACGTTTGCCTAATTACAAAGTTCACAGCTTCCCACAGGGCAACGTGCTGCTAATCCTGATAGCAGAGAGAAAATAAGCTTTCTTATCATACAGCTAAAGACAAGCAGTATGCCAGGGTAGAATGAGGGCAGGCAGCATTTAACAGCCAGACAGTGAAAGTTTTACATAACATGTGCTCCTTGTGGCCAGATGGAGAGCAAATTAAATCAATCCATAGGTTCTACCAACATAAGGAAGGCTGTCCAAAATATGCATATATTTGATGTTTTAAAAAGTGAATTCACCTTAACTCATTTACTTACATTTAGTGCTTCCATTAGTTGGCTTTAAAAAAGATGACAAAAGAAAGATCAGGAGAAAGAGGAGGAACAAGAGGAGGACAATGAAGAAAATAAAGGAAAAAAATTACTTCTCTGGCTGGCTTTGCCTTCCCTTCCACTTAAGGGTTTCTCTAGCTTTGTGGTTGATGAAATCAAGGCTTCAAGCTGTTGATCCAGATGTGACCACATACTACCTTGAGAAATCTACTTGATCAATCTCTTCAAGCTTCAATTTCTTCAATTACAAATGGAAATGCAAATCACACGTATCTCATCATTAATACTATTAAATAAGTCAAAGCGTGTGAAGCACTCAGGGTAGTTTCTGGCATGCGACAAGTACTAATGTTTTTTATTAATAAACTTTGCTTTCTGTTCCTGAACCTGGCACAAAAAGAATTGATAGGTACAGAATCTTTCCCTTCTGGCAAGGGAGCCGCCTGCAGAATCCTAATCTCTATCAGGACCCACTGAAGGGACACCTGTACCTCCACAGTCCTCATTTCACTTTCCCTGTTCCAAATTTTAATGAGCAGTGTTCAAGGTCTTGTTATCAGCACACTGCCTACGGGATCAGTCACCCTTGCTAAGGGGTTAATTGAAAAAGGTTGCCTGTTGCAGGTGGATCCATGTTTTAACAGGGTAATCTAGAAGGTGGAAAGATCTCAGCATTCAAAGGAGAAATTTTAATGACAAAATTTCAGGCACAATAAAGCAGAATATAAGGGAAATGGAAAATTTGAGGCAAGACTCTAACAAATACTTCCCGTTTCACCACATGAGGAGGTGATCTTTTTGAAAAGCAGCCAAAACTCACCAAATGTACTACTAAGTCTCCCTGACATTTCCTTGACCACCTGTAAACTGACCTCTGATCCATCAGAGTGTGTAGAAATTTTATGTATCATTTGAAAAATAAATTTAATTAAAAAATTATAACAAAAAATTCCATGCTTGGAAACATAGCTAGAGATTCGGTACTCCTGCAATGAATAAAATAGAAGAAAACAACATTTATGGAACATCTAAAATGTTCTTGATAGTTGTCATCAACACTCAGTTATACAATACGCTAAAAAAAAACCTCACCTAAACCTCACATGAATCCAACAATTTCATTAATACTATCAAGACTAAGGATGGGGATTTATCCAGGGTTCCAACCATGTCACTGAGGGAGCTAGGATTTAGAACCTAGATTCATTGATTCCAAAGCCAAGCGTTCTAGGTCCTCTGTCCTCATGAGAATGGACCCTTACCAGTATGTAAAACAGGATTTTATTTTAAGCCCTCATTCCTAACTAGCTTAGTGAACTCAGGCAGGCCACCCTGCCCAAGGCCTTAATCTGAACAAAGAGGAAGTAGTAGCTAGCAGGCTTCTAACACTTTTGTGCATCCATGATTCTAATGCCAACCCCACTGAGAAACCTGGAGAGAGGAGTACAGTAGGATTTAAACCTGGAATGATTATGAGTGTATTTTTTCTCTAAATATCTATGAAAATTACCTCATACCTCTCAATGCTGGTAACTAAGCATAGTCTAATTTTGCATTGTTCTGAAAAAGTTATACCAGCTGTGACCTGGCTTCACTGATTTTGAAGTCAGATAACTCTAAAAACAAATATCACTTGATATCCAATCCCGTAGGCATTAGTTGTGTAACAGAAGTAATATTTTTGCACATGATGTTAGTAACAGCCCCCTCTTTGTTCGTGTTTTTTTAAGTGAGTCCTTGTCTTCCAAAAGGTGTGAGTGCCTTGTGGATGAGGTGGAGGAGGCTGTTAATGCTCAAGCCCACTCACTAAGCTCTTCAAAAACTTTATAGGTGATAAATTGACTTTTGAAGGGAATTTTCTTTATAAAGGCAGTGGTCTTTCTAGAACCCTAGGGATTTTCTCCCGAACTGATGCACACTAAAAGAAAACTAGCAGGGATGGAGTAAAGGATGGTACAGTTGTGATACCAGACAGAGTATACAACCATTTCCAAGGGGTACTTGCAATTCAGTTAGCAAAGGCCAAGTAATTTGGCAAATGTTTGAATTGTCTAGAGGGAATGGGCTTTCAAGACCAAGAATTCCAAAATAAAAGGGGCATCGGGGAGGAGGGGAGGAGGATGAAAAGAAAGAAGGAAGGGAGGGAAGGAAATTTTAAAATAGAGAAAAGTTAAGCTGGTGTAATGGCACTGGCTTATAGTTGCAGCTCTTGGGAGGCTGAGGCAGGAGGATCATTTGAGCCTAGGAATTCAACATCAGACTGGATAACATAACCAGACTCATCTCAAAATAATACATAAATAAATAAATGGTAGGAAATTTACTTTATTTTATTTGCATATTTCCTCAAACTGGATCTTGTGTTCTCTCAATGCAGGAACCACATCTTTTACTTCCCTTCACTGAGCCTGTCCAAAGGCAGGCAGTGATGCTGCCAACAAAGCAAAACCACACTCAAAGTTCAGTCAATGTCAAGGGTACAGCTACCACTAAATGAATGTCAAAACCCACTACAGACCCAAATGTTCTGGTGACTAAATGTGGCATCGAGACAGGTGCTCCTTGCTTTGCCTTGCTGGCTCAGCTTTCAACTGGCTTAGTCACCAGGCTGTGAACCAGGAGCTCCTGAAGAATCTGAATGCATCTTGCATCTTATCTGGGAAACCCGCTGGGACACACAGCCTCACATCCGCAGTCCATGACAGCTGAGGGCCTGAGGACACATGTGCATCCGCACCAAGAGTAACCACAGCGACTTGGCCACAGAGACCACAGACACTGGCAGGGAAGGCAAGGCGGGCAGCAAGTCTCATCAGAGATTTTCCTATAAATACTGGCCATGTCAGGAAACCGACATCCTTGATTGTTCTTTGTGGGATTTCTCACCATTGTAAGGAATCTCTGTGTTCATTATTCTCTAGATGAGCACACTGTTTCAAAAATTTGCAAACACACACACACACACACACACACACAGCCCAAGAAAGCAGCTGGAACAAACACTATCACATCTAAATAGAATAGATGCGGGACCTGGAAGTCCCACAGCATATTTTAGCAGTGGGATTAGAATTCAGGTGGATGGACAGGCCTGGAGTAGAAGGCACACACATAGCTTCCAAGTGCATGCACCACCACGGATGTAAAAATCATCTGTGTGCATATCTTTTATAATTTTCCTACATATGACCTCTAGGCATCCCTTCTGACCTCCATTCACGTGACACTTCATACTTAAAATGCTGTCCTACTTTCCTTTCCCATTGAAAGGCAATGTACTTAGGAACAGTCATAACACTTATTTACGAACACTCTGCAGTGTGCAGGCTATGCGTGTGCGTGTGCACTGTAGCCTGGACACACACATTCACAGGTGCGGCAGACAGAGAGTCAGTTTGAATGAAATCTTTCACTGCTCTCTCTCTCTCTCTCTCTCTCTCTCTCTCTCTCTCTCTCTCTCTCACTCGCTCGCTGCTCCCACAAGCACCTCCTAGCCAGACCCAGCAGCGATTCCACTCAAACCTGGCTTTCAAAAGCAGTCTCTTTTGTGGGGCGATGCGGAGCTGTGCATGTGCTCCCACTAGGAGGAAAATGCCATTTCTTCCCTGCATGCCTTTAGCACTGCAGGTACTAATCTGTACATGAGGCAGCCTGGCTGTCCCCAGAGGAACTTGAGACCCTGAAAATGTGTTTGCAGCAGTCACTACCACACACGGACTGGCTCCATCCTCAAGCACACACCATCCTCCCGGGCACACAGAAAGCACACACACAATAAAAGGCCTGGCCCGGGGCCACTCCTTCCAGGCACAGACTTGGTCCTGGCTCTGCAGCCAGTTCTGACAATGACACGCACCTCTCCCAGCTCCTCCGCCCGCTCTCCGTCTCAGCCTGGCTAAGAGGCTTTTCGGGAGAGGGTGCTCTCGCCGGACTTCCCCTTTAAGGCCCCTAAGCACCAGACAAAAGAAGCAGGTGCCAGCAGCCTCAGGGCCTCCCGCACAGAATGTCCCCGGTAGGGGCCAGGATGGCCTCCGAGGCAGGGCAGCCGCCTTTCGAGGAACGGCGGGCGGGCAGGCGGGGCGGAGGCCACCAAGCTGGGCGTCTGCCCGGCCCTGGGCGCTTGCGGCCGGCCGAGGACGGAGAGCACTCCGGAGCCCAGGCTGACCTCTCCGTAGCTCCCTTCCCCAAGCCTGGGAAAACCACTCACCAGTTCTCGGAGAGTCGCCGCCGGAGTCTGTGGCCTCACTGGGCCGCCTCCTGGAGCTGTCTTCCCGGGGTTGGGTGCGGCCGGGCCGCAGGGCTGCGAAGCGGCGGGGCTGCGGGGCCGCGGGGCTGTGGGGCGGCGGGGCTGGGGGCGGCGGCTGCGGGCGTGCGGGCGCCTGGGCTGAGGCCGCTAGAGCAGGGCTGTGCCTCGGCGGGTCCTCATTGAAATGCGGCGCTCCGCTCAGCCTCACTCCAGCCTTCTCCCGAGGAGGGCGGCGGCGGCGGGCGCGCTCCCTTTTCTTGTCTCACTCGCTCACACGCCCTCCCCTCTCCCTCCTCCTCCTCCGCGCGCACTCCGTCGCCCCCGCCCTTCTTCGCAGGGCGCACCCACCACGGCTGCGCCCCGCGTCCGGCTCCCTCCCCACCCCCGGCTCCCGCGCCTGGATTAAACCGCTCAGACTCCTCTGTCCCCAGAAGTGGCTGCCTGGAGATTGGGACAGATCGGATGGTGGCTCTGCGGACAGGAAGAGAACCAGCCAGGATGTGTGCAGGGCAGAGAGGTGAGGTGGCCCCTAGGTGCAGCCCCCTATCTCAGAGGAAGCGAGGGAAATACTGTAGTTCCTTGACTCTATGGTTTGACCCCTTTTCAAAAGACCACATGGTTTGACACCTTTCCCAGAGTCGTGAAAGCTAATGGGGCTGCCCCCTCTCTCATCACTTCTTGCCCCTGATGCATCTACACAGCGCCTCACCTGGAAGGACCAGATCCCAACCCTCCTAAGCTAAGTGTTACCCTGGGCTCCCCGCAATACGTAGGCAAAGACAGGTCCACTTACTGATCCTACCCCACATCTCCACTTGACTCCAAGAAGTGAGTCTCCCTTGAATTTGTGACCTCTGCTGGACTCTTCAAAACTGCCAACGTTGGCTGTCAGGTGGAAACCCCTGAGCTCACAGGAGCCTTTTCTCTGGGCAGGAATGTTCTAGGACCCCAGGCTGTTCGGTTTCCCCAAAAGCCTTTGCATAAAAGTCCAGGGAGTGGGAGCAGGTCCCAGGTTTCCCTGAAACCTTAGCCTCGCTCACTATGCAGCCTGAATTTTGGTCAATTACTTTTTCAATCCTCTCATTTGGGACATGTGTTTATCCGAAATACACATGCATATACAAATACACATATGTAGTTTTCTCTCCTCCTGAGCCTACATTTTTCAGTAGCAAAATTCAAATTTTATTTTCTTCTTGCCCATTGAGCCCAGTTATGTGGCCTCTTATTAATAACAGCCATTCTGAGACATACTTTTAAAATATTATGTAAGGGCCTGGGATTTAGCTCAGTGGTTCCACCGCCTGCCCTGCAAGTGCAAGCTCCTCAGCTTGATCTCCGGTACCAAAAAAAAAAAAAAAAGTATTATGTAAATACTAATTACCTTTTGTTATAAAATGTAGGCAAATGAGATGCATGTTACATATTTAACAAGTAATGCAATATTTATTTTTGAACAATTTAATAGCTCAGGGATAAGAATACAGTGAAGTTAACAAATTAACTAAAATGCAAAGTACTGAGCCTGCTCCTACAAAATGAAGGCCCAGGGGTAAGTTAAGAGAATGGCAGAATCCAAGTTTATTTTCTTGAGAAGAGAAATCAGAGCTTATTTTGCCAGTGACAAATGCAAAGTGATTTCTGCCAAAATGCTAAACCAAAGCATAAGTGTTTCTTCTTACCCTACGGATATTCTATTGGGGTCATTTGTTACATAACTAAACCATTTTATTTTATCCTCCCCGTTTGCCTAAAATATACAGATCATGTGTTCAAAGAAACACCTTTGTGTTTGGTTCTCTGGGTGGTAAAATGCTACCAGTATAGGGGGTCATTAAACGCTCTCAATTAAACATGAGGGCAAATGATAATTAAGTAGATGGGGACACTAAGTGGTACCCACTGGCCACTAAAGGCCATAACATTTAGTCAAGGACAGCAGGCTGGTATTACAGTAGATTGTACCCAGGAAACTGATAGAAGTAATGATGTTTAAGAAAGTGGCAAGTTACTTGAAGGGTAGTGAGACTTTACAAATATAACTCATATTTAATAATAATAACTAATTGAAATGAAATGTAACTAGAAAACACCTGATTCAAGTAATTTTCAAAAAGTGATGTTACTTCCCTTCATATCATAAAGGTACTAATCAACGAAGTGATTGAAATTAATATATCTTTTTCCTCATGAAAATTTTAAGTTACTGGAGATCTTACTCTTGTTCCCAAAGCTAATGTTATTTAAACTGTGTACCCCAAAAGCTGTTCCAAGAAACCACAGTTCTGCATCCTAAAAGAGGACAATGGCTTGGCAACAGCTCTGTCAGTGGCTCCCATTAACTAAGTGCTAGCTTTTTGCTGTGCTGGGGGTTTTCACATTATATCCTCTTATTTCCTTTTGATGAGAACCATGCAAGGTATTATCACTGTCTTATAGATATAGCAATTTAGGCACATCATTTGCCCAAACTCATGCCATTAATACAAGTTAAGCCCAACTCTAAGTTTTGAAAACCCCCATGTTTTAAAATTCAAGTCATTTTCCTAGTTGCCATGGCCATATGCTTATAAAGCAGCACCAAATTCTAGTGAAAACTATAGCCTCTTTTGAAAAATGTAGTTTATTATAGTGGAGAGTAAACAGCCCTCTTCTATACACACAGTGTTACCTCTAGAAATAGGAACCATCAAATGGGTCTACTTTGGGCTAAACTTTTCATGACAGCATTTGCACTTTCTCCTCTGATACAAAGTTCATGGTCAACCTTAGCCAAATGAGGTGTTATCAAAAATGACAATGAATGTTTAAGTTTTTAAAACTTCTTACATAAGGGCCAGGGATTTAGCTCAGTGTCACCGCACCTGCCTCACAAGCACAAGGTCCTGAGTTCAATCCCCGTACCAGAAAAAAATAAAAGATAAAAATTTCTTATTGTAAATGACACATTGCCAGTAGTCCCCCTCAAAATAGTCCCTCTTGCTATTAACACACTTATCCCATTATTGTTGCCACTTTCTGATGCTGTTCTGAAAGTCTTCTTCTTGTGTTTTTAGTTAGGCTGGTATGGTTGCCTTGATGTCTTAAATTGATTAAAAACCTTTACCTTTCATGGTTATTTTGACTTTGGGGAAAAAGAAGTTGCACAGTGCTAGATCTGGTGAATAAATTGGATGAGGATATACTGTAATGTTTTTACGAGCCTACTTTTTTCTTGGATGGCAATGGCCAGCAGCATTCATTGTATTTTTTCTTAAATTGCACTTCACAAAAACACAAAAGAGGACTTCCAGAATTGCTTGAAAGTGAGAAGAACAATGGGATAAGTGTGTTCAAAGTGAATGGGAATATTTTGAGGAAGATTAATGGCGATGTATAATTTTTTTAATTTAAAATTTCACTTTATATTCTGATCACACCTTGTATGTGCATGTCTTCCTGTAAGTAAGTTTTGGCTGCAACCCAGACAAGAGAAAGAAAATGAAATAATAATTTTTAACTGATCATACATTTATTTTCAGGAAACTTTTATTAGTTTAATAGAAAATATGCTCAATCATGTCGATTCAAATAAAATTCCAGAATAGGGACTATCAGAAAGAGGAGATGCACTTCCTGACCTTTTTTCTAGGAGGAATTTACTCCTAGCACATTCAAAATACTTCCTTGGTGGCAGAAGGCATGCTGTGCTTCTGGGTTATAATACTGTACATATTTAGTAGCTGCAACAATTATAGAAACAGTTATAGAATATGATCATGATTCCAATTTCCCTTTGTATACCTTTCAAAATAATGAAAGCTTTTGATGGCATTTTCTCATTGGGATAGTTACTCTTGATTATCAACTTTATTGGATTGAAAAAACACCTAGGAAATGAGAACACTTTTGTATGTGCCTGTGGATGTTTCTAGAGATGATTGGCATGTAGGCCAGCAAACTGAGGAGAGGGAGACCCATCCTGATTGTTGGAAGCTTCATCCAATAGACTGGCAGCCCATATGGAACAGAAAGAGGAAGAAGAAAGAAGTCAGCCAGTGCTTGCAAGCTGGATTCTCCTTGAGTGAGTCCATCTTTTGCTGCTGCCATGACCTATGGACCTCAGTCTCCAGCTTCATCAGCCTTTCCACAGGGATTCACAGCAGTGAATCTCCATGGAGCTTGCAGGTCTCCAGACCTGGACTGGAGTTACATCCTTGGTCCCTCTTGTTCTGAAACTTTCAGCTTCTTGGACTGATTGGCTACTAGATCCTCTGCTCTCTCCCATGCCAACAGCCATTCTATCCAGTCTCTGATCCTGTAGGCCAATCTAATAAATAAATATATATATTATATTTTTATTTTATTTTATATATATATTTTCCCATATATATATAAAACCTTGGTTTGTGGGCATAATTTGTTCTGGAAATATGCTTGTCATCCAAAGCACTTGCGTACAAAGCAAATTTCCCCATAAGAAATGATGGAAACTAAAATGATTCGTTCCACAAATGCAAAATATTATATAAATGATTACAATACTATAATACTATACAAAATAATAAAGAAGACACAAAAGAAAAAATAAATTAACCTGCACTTACCTTTGAGAACCTTCATGGCTGGTGTGAGGGAGACAAGGGGAGGGTTATTGTATAGGACGACTTTCACTATCACTAATGGAATCACTGCTACCTAGTGGCTCAATGCAATCTGTTTCTTTTTGTGCAACTTTAAACAGGAACCAATATATCCAATGACACTTGCTTTGGCCTACTTTTAAGGATTTTGCAGAAATGTGACACTGCACTGTCATTAAACCGATTCATTACTCACAATGCTACAGCCTTTGGGAGGTGTTTTTCTGCAAATTTTGCAGTTTCCCACATTTTAGACATCTCCCTAATCTCATTTGAAGTGAGGGATTCCTCTGCCTTTTTCTCCTCCTTTGAAGACAAGCTCTTCTCCTAACCTTGTGCTGTTTAGGAGAGGATCACCTACAATCCCACAGTGAGAGACAGAGACAGAGAGCCAATGGATTGGCTCAGCTGTGATCTTATGATGTTCAGCTTCACATTACAAGACATCAGTCATTTATCAAGTTAAAATTTATTGGAAATGTTTGCTCATCTTGTGGAAGACTCGAAGAACAAGTTACTCACAATCTAAGGTTTTACTGTATATGATGATTCTGGTCCTCTAGAAAACACTAACCAATACACCTACAGTTTACCAAATCCCTCCCTCTTTACAAGACATTTCCTACCTTCTACTGGAATCACAGAAACTCAGTGTTAAGGGATTTTAGCAGTAGACTCTGCAATTTTTACCCAGTCCTCACT